ACTCAGGGTGCTGTTTTTTTTCCTCAAAGTTCCTTGCAACCAGGCATAGCTTTTTTCACTGCCTTGTCGGCTGAGAAGCAAGCGGTCCACTATTGGAGAACAAATAAATCCCAAAAGTTGCCTGGCCACATGGTAGGCACTTGCTGCACATGCTGACCTGTGCTGGACTCATAACCAGCAGCCAGCACAGCAGGACCTGGCTCTATCTTGTCTCTCTACTTGCCAATTAGTCACCTGCTGGGTGAGCTCAGCTGTGGTGTGACCTCCCCCCACTCCCCCTCACCCCAGTTTTCTTTCTGTCCAGTTTTTAAAGACTGAGAAAGTGATAGGGAGTGAGCTTTGGGAGCCGTGTAAAAGAGTTGTCTTTGACTAGAGTTGACTGTACTTACACATTTTTTTTTTGTATCCTGCCAATCACTAAAAATATTTTATCATGTGTGAAAAGTCTTGATAGAAGTTTTAGAATAATGCACTTTTTTTTCTTTTTTCTTTTCTTTTTTAAGAATTTGTTTATTTATTATGTATACAACATTCTGCTTCCATGTATATCTGCACACCAGAAGAGGGCACCAGGTCTCATAACGGATGGTTGTGAGCCACCATGTGGTTGCTGGGAATTGAACTCAGGACCTCTGGAAGAGCAGTCAGTGCTCTTAACCTCTAAGCCATCTCTCCAGCCCCATTCTTTTTGGTTTTTTTGAGACCGGGTTTCTCAGTGCAGCTCTGGAGCCTATCCTGGCACTTGCTCTGGAGACGAGGCTGGCCTCGAACTCACAGAGATCCGCCTGCCTCTGCCTCCCGAGTGCTGGAATTAAAGGCGAGCGCCATCAACGCCCGGCTAGAATAATGCACTCTTAACATAAATGTCTTAAGATTTTGGCATAGTGTTGGGAAGAGATTAACTTATTATCAGAAGAAAAAAGAATGGTAGCAAAAACACCACTGGTGACCGTTGTGGAATTTAGATTGTTGTACTATTTTTGTCATACTGATGTGTCATGTTTTTGTCCTCCCATCTGTTTGAAGTTGGAGTGCTTAATCCAGTTGATAAGAGCAGGCGCCTCACTGAATGTCTCCACCACCCGATATGCCCAGACCCCAGCCCACATTGCTGCTTTTGGAGGACATCCTCAGTGTCTGGTCTGGCTGATTGAGGCTGGGGCCAACATTAACAAACCGGTAAGGAGACCTGATTGACATTGCCTTTGTTTGTTTTCCTAATAACTGCTATTCATAAGATGTTTTAAATTGAGGCCTTAATTAGAGTTTGATGTCTTTACCTGAGGCAAACTGGAATATGTTCCTTCAGTTACTTGTGGCTAATAAGCTCTTTCCTCCCAAGGCATGCATTCAGTTTGTAGAGAGATTTTACCTGTTATGGGACTCGCCCAGATCTGAGTTGATGATTTGCCCAAGGTCACAGCTGATAATTGAAGGCTGCTGGCCCACAGCCCAGATTTCCTGGCTCTCGCTCCTGGCTGCTGCCTTAACTTCATAGGTACTGTAGAAACACATCCACACTAGCAAAAGGAGGGCTTGTGTAAGCTTCAGGGTGGGTTTGCCCTTCAGACACAAGTTGGGGGTGGTGAGTAGGTGTGGAAACTTCACTTTAAGTGTCACTTACTTAGTGAAAAAAAAAATGAATGACTTGAGAAATTTGTATTCAAGTGTACTGACTAGATATGTGAGCCAGGTTTTTTTTTTATGATGTGTTTTTATGGATGTTTATATTACTAGCGTATAATAGAGAAGCATACAGTAGATAATCTAAAGTGGAGCAGACATAACTTACTTTCCAGCTCAAAGGGTGGATTACATGCTGGCAGCTCTGGTAGCTATGATATTTGCCCCCCCTTTTCCCCCTTTCATTTACTATGTACTTTTCTTTTAAAAAAATATATATATGTATGTGGGAATGTGCACCTGTTTGAGATCAGTGTGGGGTCGTCTTGGAGCTAGAGTTATAGGTGGTTGTAAGCCACCTGATAGGGGTGCTGGGAATGGAACTCGGGTCTGCTGAGTGAGCAGTACTTGCTTTTAACAGATGAGCCATCTTTCTAGTCCCTTGCGTATTTTCTTATCCTCATCAGCATCTTGTGTGCAAAGGATCCTCAGTTCCTCCCTCCTGCCTCTCTTTCTTGAGATTTGTTCCTTGGTTGTAACAGTTGTAAAGCAGTTGTGGTTCCTTCCTGAGGATGTTAGCTACCCACATAAAATAGCAAGTGTTTTGGTTATGGGTTGGAACAAGGACAGGAGGAAAGGGAGTGAAAGGCATAGCGTGCATGTTTTTCTTCTTGAGACTGACAGTGAAAAGGGCAGTGTAAGGAGAGGCTGGCCCCTTTTTTGTTACTGAGACTTGAATAGGGGCAGCTTCAGATCTTTACATACTTCCTTTCCTTTCATATGAATTTCCTCTTTTTCACCCTTGTAGGACAGAGGCATGTCTGTCCATCTGCCTGACATCTGTACTGTTGCCTCCTGGTCTCAGCACAATGGGCACTGTGGATTTGAGTCTGGGTTCTGCTGTCTGGCAGGCTGGCTTTGGACAAGTCACTTACTTATTAGACTGTGGTTCCAGCTCCACCAATAAAATGTGGATAACAAATTCATGAATGAAAATAGTTCATATTTGCTGTTAATATGGAATTTAAGTTTAGAATTTTCTGTATGTTAACTAAGTAGTTAACAAAGCATGTAATTTATAAAGAGGTATGAAGAAATTGTCAAGGTGGGGGGACTGCTTTTTAAAAGCCAGATGGTCTTTCCATTTTAGTTGGTGATTTTTAGCAGGTACTGAGAGTATAGGCTCGCAGGTGTGCCCCTATGTTCCCACTGTTCTGTGGAGTCCCTTGGTTACTTTTGAAAGGTAAATAGAGACTGGAGAGCACCATTGAAAAGTTTGGATTTTCTTGATTGCTTCGGCATAGGCATCTCTTCCAGAGGTGTAGCTCACAAAACAAGGGCTGGGTAGTCCTTCCTGTTCTCTGACCACTGTTAATATCCCTCCATCTTCTGGGGAAATTAACTATAAGATTTTTTTTTTCTTGTGAACATATTTAAATCCGTTAGCTTTTCTGCAGAGTACATATGTCTCTGTGTGTGGTGTTTGAATATGCTGCTGTGGGTGGGCATGTGACTGCATGTACATATGGGGGCTGGAGTGTTTCCCACAGTTACTGTCAATCTTACTTAAGCTTGTTTCTCACTGAAGCTGAAGCTCAGCAGTTTGACTAGGCTAGCTGTCCAGTGAGCTTCAAAGACCTTCTAGTCTCTGGTTTCCAGTCCCGGGGTTCCTGACACACACCACCATGCTTGACTTTCCTATGGTCCTGGGAATCCATGCTCAGTTCTCTTGTTTGCACAGCAGGTGCTTTACAGACAAAACCATCTTCCCAGCCAGTCACTGTAGGTTTTGTCTCTCTACTTTTCTTTAAAAAGGTAGTTTGGTGGAAGTGGTAGCACATACCTTTACTCCCAGTGTTGGGGAAGCAGAAGGAGATGGATGTATGAGTTCAAGGGTCTGTGCAGCAGGTTCCAGGACAGCTACACAGTTGAGAGAGCCTGTCTCAAAAAAAAAAAAAGTAGTAGTTTGCTTTTTTAAAACACCTGAGTTAACATATAGTTCTTGGATAGTCACATGGCTTGCTGTTTCTCTTAAAAAAAAAAAAAAAACAAACTTTTCTTGACTACACCCTGGTATCACTTTAAAGTCTAGAACCATTGAAAACCCTTGTTTAATAAGTGGACACTCTTCCCTGTCCTGAGCTATCAGCAATCTGGTCTTGGTCTGTTTGCTGTGAAGCAGTAACAACAATTCCCTGTGTGGTGCACTGGGAAGGAGCTCAGGCGTTTGCTAATTTTATGAATGACCCTTTCCCAGGGCCACTCACTGTACAATTGCACCCTTGCCTTTTTTCGTTATTCCTTAATTATGTGGTGTGCAGGTACTGCCAACTGCTGCTCCTGGGAACCTTGAAGTGGGATCCATTCAAGTACTGGCAAAGCTCTCCCTCAGAGTTTCCTAGACAGCACTCTGAGTGTCTGTCAGAAATGATCACTCCATCTGTTGCCCTTTTGTCCTCAAGCGTCTTTGCCAAGCCGAAGGTCTATTAGCACTACAAAGCTTACCCTGTCCAGCATAGGTTTTTCCTTGTCTTTACCCCATCCTCTGACTTGAGATGTCTTTCCTAAAATACAGTTCCAATTCAAGATAGAGAGTTGAAGGCAAGCTCTATGTCTTACTGCTATCAGCACTACAGAAGCTATACAGAAGATTGGACTTGAAGTTGTCTTGTTAGCTTTTTCTTGGCCTGGGTAGCTGGGGTTTTTGTTGGTTGGTTGTTTGGTTTGGTTTGGTTTGGTTTGGTTTGGTTTGGTTTGGTTTTTTGAGATAGGTTTCCCTGTGTAGCTTTGGAGCCTGTCCTGGAACTAGCTTTTATAGACCATGCTGGTCTCGAACTCACAGAGATCCATCCGCCTGCCTCTGCTTCCCAAGTGCTGGGATTACAGGTGTGCGCCACCACTCCCCAGCTCTGGGTAGCTGTTGTAATGTGAATTTATTTTTATTGGTTATAAGATAGTTATTTTGAGTTTCTATACAACACATTTATACCAAGCTCTGGAATAAAATGATTCGTCAGTCAGTATTACTGGGTTCACACTATCAATATGGGACCCCTCCTAAGTCTTCATCAATATCCTACACGTAGCTAAATGTTGTGGAGAGCATGCCCTGCAGCCTGGCTTTCAGTGACCTTTCACAGATGGCACTGCTTTCTCCTCCACTTCGGATTTTGCTCATATACTTTATTTCAGAGAAGGGAACTCTGTATTGATTACCTGCTTGCTACTCACTGCCAACAGTTTGGGTAAATCTGAGCCCCTGTGCATTCTGTGTTTCAGGACTGTGAGGGGGAAACGCCCATTCATAAGGCGGCCCGCTCTGGGAGCCTGGAGTGCATCAGTGCCCTGGTAGGGAACGGGGCTCATACTGAGTAAGTGTCTTCAATTATTCCTCTCACTTAGAGACATGGTCAAGGTGTTCATCCAGAAGTAGCATTTAGAGCAGCAAAAGCCTTAAATGTCCTTGTTTCTAGAGTTAGCAATATAGTTGTGCCTTTTTGATCAGGTGTTAGTGAGGAAGGTTGTGTTAGGTTGACCACTAGCAGATGTAGGCTTCCTTCCTCCGTAGCTAAGAGTGAAACAGTAGAATGGAATGAAAAGAACAGTCAGTCCATTAAATATTGGAACTTGGTGCCATTGACTTTGCCACTAAGTAGTCATGTCACTATGGCAGGTCTTCTCACACTTTGTTTGCCAGGCTCTAATTTCAAACAGGAGGTGCTTGGATTAGAGTTGCATGCTTTTGCAGGTCCCTCTGGCTCAGTCTTGAAGACTGTTTCTAAGTCTGGATTTCCTTAGCAATGTGAGATCTCATGTAAACCCCCATAGAACTAATGATCGGCAGCTTCCAGTCACCTGGAGTTGCTGCATACGTAGAGACTTAGCTTGCTTGGAGTCTTTGATGCTGAGGGGTTAGTGTAGAATGTCATCATTTTAGTGCCATTTACATGAGCTGTGGTCTATCACCTGCTAGAATAGTGCTAATGTGTGAGTGTGTCAGTTCAGAAATGTGATCTTGTATGCAAACCATTAGTTAGCCATAGTGTTATACATTATGTAGGTATTATATTCATTTGTTTAACTTTTTTTACATTGTAAAAATTTTCTTCTACAGTTCACAGCATTAACAAATGGATGCGGTTTTCACCCTTAAAACATTGAGTGTAAGCTATAGAGAGCTGTAATAACCAAAATAACCAATAATACCAGCTTTTAAAATTTTACTGTAACTTAATGAGTAATTCATTAAAAATTAATTAGAAACCACTTTATTTTAACAGGAAATGTGAAAATTGAGACTCTTGGATGCAGTGCGACCCACAAAACTTAGTTTAACCCTTTGGTTTCCATTTCTTTGTTCTCACTATATTACAGTAAATTCTGAACATAGGTCCTGAGTAGCAAAACCTTGTATGTTAGCTCATGTAGGCATGTCTGTGTCCAGAGCTCAGCTTAGTCACGGCCTTCGTTTCCATTTCCTTTTTTATTGGCAAGTCTTAACATTAGTTTTGGCTTGGAGGTTTAATGTCATAAATATGGCCTGTGTTGCCTAAGCATAGCAGCACATGGCAGTAATCCAAGTACCCAGGAGGCTGAAACAGGAGTGGACTTTTAGGCCCACCTGAGTTACATTGTGAGTCCCTGTCTCAAAAACGAAAGAAATAAGGCATGTATTAACTGCTACATTTTAAGAACCCTTGTAACTATATTTAGTTGTGATGTAAGGTAATGTAAAAGCAACTTGATAATGTGAATATGTATTATATAATCTTAAAACATTTAAGATGATTCTCAATTGCTTTAAAGTTATAGAATCAGTTTTATTCACTTTATTTATATTAAAAACTTAGACCTTTAATAGCAAGCTTTGATTATAAATATAGTCATATGTAACAGTTGATTAAATAACTATTTATGGAAATAGTGGGCAATTCAAGTTGGGTCTTTTAAATAGCTTACTTTTTTCTAAATTCTACTTTAATTGGCCCTGAACATTTGATCACAAAGATATTAGTTTTCATTTTAATGAGTAGCCTAAACCTTTGAGCTGGTAAATATCTGTCAGTGTGTCCTTTTTCTTTCTTTCTTTTAAGTAGGTATCTTAAAATATGAGTATCTTTTATTTACAATTCTGTCCTTGGTTACAGGACCCTCAAGTGTCTCTTTTCTACCAGGTGTGGCTGAGCATGGCCTCGAGTGCCAGTCTGTCCCCCATCTCAGTACAGGAGCCACCCCTCGAGACCCTGCAGTATGGTGACTGCCCTGGACTGAGCTTTCACATTTTTTTGGAAGGAACATTTAGCTTGAACAACCTAGGCAAAAGCAACTCTTAAAATCAGAAGTCTTTGGCCTGGAATTAGAATACAAGTAGTCATTATTTATTACTATTGTGTATGTGGTTATTCAGTTTATCAGCTAATGAAAATGTTGATTTTGACAGTAAGCTAAATTGAAAACTGCTTCTTGATGTCTATTCTGCACATTTTATAATTTATTCTGTTTAGTCTTGTCTACATAAGCAGTTTGACTCCCCCAAATAGCAGTGCCTAGGTCTGTGTTCCCCGTAATGCTACATGGCCAGATGTAGTCCCAGTGCAGACTAGGTCTTTTTGCCCCCTAAGACCAAAGGTTTAGCATTAGTTTCCTTACTTAAAATTACTTAATATTTATTTTCTTTCATTTCAGAATGGGTCAGATTGTTAATTCATTTTATAACCTATGATATTTAGGAGATTAAAAACTTTCCTTCTCCTCTGAATAGGTTAAAAGCTGCCTCATACTGCTATTTTTAAATTAATGATTTTGCTCTTAATTCCTACCCTGCTTTTTATATATCTGCTACATTAAAAGTGGCCAAAGACTAAAGTTGTGCTTTTTTTGATCATCAGGTAGATGGTGAGGGTAGCTGCTAAGTGTCTGTGGCTAGAGTGGTTTGTTATGTGACTGATTTGTTAATGTAGGTTGCAACTGTAAGATAACACAGTTCAGCAGCTGTGCATCGTATTAAATTTTCTAGCACCACACGTGAGTATGTTGATGGACTTTTGTTTTCTTCTCTTAATTTAAATCTTGAGTTTTGGTGCCAAGTTATCTTTTCCACATACGCTCTGCTTCTGGCTTATGTGGTAGTCATCAGTAATTACCGCTGTTCACACCTAAAAGTCCAACTACACAGATTCAAATCCCAGTTCTGTGAGCACACTAAATGTTTGCATACCTTAAAGGCCTCGAGCTGTGGCTGAGCATGTTGAACTCTCTTGGACTTCAGTCTCACATGATGCAAAAGGCGGGATGCTACAGAACATGGCTTCATTAGAAGTTGTGTATTTTATGGTAACCAGATCTAGCAGGGTACCTTTGAAATAGTTAACTGAAAAGCAGCCTCCCTGCTTAATGCTCAGGAGGCAGCTGAAGAAGCAACAATGGGCTGGGGTAAGCAGGCTCCTTCGCCTAGTGTAGAGACAGGCTCAGTTGTCTAAAGTGACAACAGTAGGCCAGCCACAGATGCAGCCTCTGTGGATCTGCTAGGCTCTGGTAGTCACTGAAGCAGGTGTATGGGCTTCACCTGGACCCTGCCTATCGGCTGGATTGTCACCAGGACAAACGCATATTGTGAACATACTTAGAGTAATACGTCAGAAGTTCTCTTGTAAGTGTAACCAGGACCTACTATGTTAGCTATTCACTTCTGTGGTTGATGGTTAATTCATCCCAACATACTTCTCCTTCAGAACATCGGTCCTGCTAAGAGATGTCTCAGACTCATGACTGAATTAGTCTGATACTTTGGTGCTTTGAGTTCTTTCCATCCTCATATGCTTACTTTTCTGATTGTTACTACTGCAGATTCTCTGGTCTTGATGCTGCCTTTTCCTCCACTAGGACTGCAGGATAGAGGCAGCTGTTAAGTCTGCCCACTGGCAGGAGTAGTCAGTGTACGACAGGGTTCCAGAGTTGACAGGCTTACCTTAGAATTATTTTATTAATAACTTAAGTGACATAGATTTTATCTTTAACTGTTGCTTGTACATTAAATTGGTGTTTTAAAAACAAACCAACAATTTGTAAATACCAATTTTTCTCTCTGTTAAATCATAGTGGAACATGCTTAGTATTTTAATGTATGCAAACAATAATAGTGATTTACTTGCAATGCTAATTGTCCTCCATAACATTGAACTTGAAATGAAAACTTGGCACCAAACTTATTCAGGTAGAAACTTTTTAAAAAATAGTTTCTTCCTATTGTTAACTGAAGAGTGCATTTTTGAAAGTCTTCATGATTATGTGTTTGGATACCAAAGGGTTAAAAATACACCTGTATTTCTTTTACTGCAATAACAGATGTTTGCTAATGTTTTGTCTGTATCAATAGACATTTAGTAAATGTTTTTATTTTTTATCTTTTTTTAATGATTCCATTTATTTGCTTATTTCCATCTAGGAATAGTTACTAATGTATTTGCGATACAGCATACCAAATTTTAAAGTAACCAGAATCGTGAGTTGATGGTTTTTAGTCCATACTGTTAAACTTTTGTTGAAATATTGACATAATTGGCTTCATGCTGACGTTACTGGAGGTAACTCTTAATGACAGCACTAAAGCAGTGAAGGTGGTCACACACCAGTGGCTTAGCTCTGTGACTACTGCCCTGCACCTCATGTGTGTATGTATTTTTAATCCAGTGTTGCCTGCCAATGTGATCCCTTATGATTGACGTTTCCTGTGTATGAACCATGCCCGCTTTAAGTCACGCAGAAGATTCTGAATCTGTAAAAACTACACATGTCAATGTTTTACAGCTGCGTAATTCGAATTGACTTGGTTTTTTCAAGTAACCCTAGAAAGGGGAGCATTCACATAGAAACTGCTGAAACTGCCACAGGTGCTTCTCCGAAACCTTACGGTTGTGGCATTGAATGTTCAGTATGGCTTCCCTTCTGCACACAAGCATACTGTTGAGGTATTTGTTGCGGTGATTGGTTTTAATGCTAATCTAGGAATTCAGATATAGATTCTTTAGATTTGCATGCTTTGCTTACCCTAATTTATGATATCTACCTTCTTATTTGTAAACTAACAATAGCTAAATTCAGATCAGAATTTTAACAGAAATATTTATATAAAAATTGTGGTTATATTTTATTGTCACATGGCATTAGCATTAAAGAGAGTGTCACAAAAATGATGTGACACCTTGAGTTCTGAAAACGACGTCAGGTATTTCCTGACCTATGATTATTATGTTAATCAAAGAAAAAAATGCTCATTGGAATGGCTTCTCCGGTATTGTGACACTGTAAGTGGAAAATCAAAGGGGTAGCTGGCCTCTGTGGCAATCAGCTCTAAAGTTCCTTGGGAGGAATTCTTGAGCAAATTAAATATAATGCTCCATTCAAAATATTCTTACAGGAAATTGTGTTTGGTGACAGTTTGATTCATTTTTGCCACTTGGTCAAAATATTTAATTTAAAGCCGGACTCACTCTCTTCTCCTGTGCTAGTTTTCTGATTCTGAATGATTAGCAAGAGGGCTGAGCAAGTGGCTCAGTGGTTCAGAGCTTGCCTAGTATGTATAAGGCCCTAGGTTTGCCGCTGAGCAGTGCTGAGGGTCACCTGCCTGGGAACTGTTTGCCTCCCTTTTGTGGGGGTTACAGAGCTAGGATTCACTGACAGGAGCAACAGATGGAGTTCGGCCCCATGAAAGTCTGATCCGGCCAGCCTCCTTCTCGAGTCCAGTCGAGCTTCAACAAGACCAGAGTTGTTAACAGATTCCCCCATTTTAATACTTTATTTGTCTGGGTGTTAGCACCAAAGAGAGCGGATAAGGACTAAGATCATCCTTAAAAACAGTTTCAGACATTTCTCCCAGGTCTTTTATATTTATTAGATAGAGCATGTCTTGTTTGTCTACAGGACTCAGTTAATCCTGTGTGGTGAATGTTGGTAAGCCGCAGGCTGAAGGGGTGGACTGTTAACAAGCTCTTGACACAAAGTAAAGGACGTAGAAATCATAAATGAGTTTTGTCACTCATTCATGTGCCCACCTCCCATGGGACTTCAGAAAACTAGGGCAGGGAAGGCTGAGATCATGTCCTTAAACTGGGATACTACATAGAGGTCAAAGGTACAGTTAACTTGGTATAGTCTAACCAAGATCACTATCTCACCTGTTAAAACACTAAAGTTGAAATGTGAGCTGATAAAACAAGCATATGAGAAAACAGAATTTAAAGACCCAAGCTTCTTTCATTAAAAGTTAGTATTTTGATTACGAAAAATGAGTGTTTTGATTTGCGTGTGTGTGTGCGCGCGCGCGCGCGCGCGCGTGCGCCCCAGGATTTGATCCCCAACACTATTTGAGAGGATATAATTTAGTGCTTATTCTCATTTTAATGTGGAAGTCCACATAATTTTCAGCCTCTAATGAATTGAAATTAAGTTAGTAAAAGTAGTTGGGAGACCTCAAAAGCAGTTCTTACTGTTTATACTCCCACCTACAGATTCCACTGTAAAGTTCTCAGATGGAGGCATAGCAGGTAGTGAGACAGGGTTGCTTGGTCTGATAGTTTTCTTTCTGGGTATCTAATATTTTGTGATAGGTTTGGCAATTTGTAGAAAGTTATCTTTTTGTTTGACTCTATAGTGAATCCAAAAGTGTATGAGACAATGAGGAGGACTTTGAGGGTGCTGGTTGTTGTGAGGGGAGCAACCTCAGGCTTGTCAGCAGCTCTTATCCTCGTCTGCTGTTGGAGGGCCCATGAGCTAAAGATGGCTTTTAAGTTCTAGATGCCAACTTAACAGGAATCAAAATGAGAAGTAATGGCATTATATGTAAAGTTCCATGTGACTCAGATTTCATTGTGCATAAGGGATGACAGACCATAGACACACTGACTGTGCAGCTGCTTTCAGGCTACAAGAGCTGAATAGTTAGGAGTGAGATTGTATCCTCTGTATACTCGGCCCTTCAAAGAAAAAGTACTATGTTCTGGATTAAATGTTCCCTGCCAGTCAGTTCAGGCCAGCTGCCCTGTGGAGGTTTGAATGGACAAGACTGAGGGTCTCACACAGGAATAGATAGCACTAGTTGAGTGGAGGTAAGCAAGAGAGGAAATGGTCAGACATCTGGAGAGATGACAAGTGGATGGTGGAGGCTGGTGTTTGATGTATCATCACTGAACAGATCTTGAGCTTCAGAGAAGGTAAATGCTAACTGCTGTGGGGTCAGTCCTGAGCAATACAAGATACCATATAGAGTCAGAGGAGTGCTTTGTTTTCCTATTTTCTGATTTTGCCAGTCACCGCAGGCATTATGTAGCACAGATTCTGATGTGTCTAGTTTATCTTTTAGTCTTTTGTTTTCCATTCATATTGTTATATGAGCAACTTGGCTTGACCTTTGGCTGTACTGCACAGGATGGAATGGCTCACTTATTTTTCCTCTTACATTTGAAAGTTGGGCCCTGTAAACAGAACTTGGTTGGCTCTGGTGTGAGTAGTGGAAATCACCAGTGTTGACGGGTCCCTGGAGGATCAGGGGGCAAGCTGTTAGCCCAATGTGGTTCATGTTGCAGATTTCCTAGTGTGTTTACCTACCCTACTATTAAATGCTGGCTTCTCATTTCTGTATTCTTCAGCAACTCAACTTTACCTACCCTACTATTAAATGCTGGCTTCTCATTTCTGTATTCTTCAGTTTCAACAAGACCATACTTATGATCATTTGGGGGTTAGTGAGACAGTTCAGTCCCCAGAACCCATATGGTGGAAGAAGACAGTCTTTAACAAGTTGTCTTCTGATCTCTACACACAGGTCATAGTGCACGTGTACACACACATAAACATAACAATAAAGGTGATCATTAATTTTGTCTATAGTGTTGCTCTTGTCTTTTCAGATTCTTAAGAAACTTAAATTTGTCACATAGTTTGTTTCTTGACAAATGGGCATGTCTAGACCATCTTTACTCTGCTGTGTGATAAGCTCCACACATTTAGAAATCATGTGGCTGTGTGGGGCACATAATGTCTGTGTGTGTCATGTTCTAATGATAAAACAAGGTGGGCCTTGTTTTAATTTGTGTATCAGTAAAGATGCTGGGGTGAATATACATCAGAATTCACGGTGCTGAATTTTTAACAACATCAACTTTAGTTCTTACTGGTCCTGTATATAATTGCTTTTTATTTTTAAGAAAGTGCTATTGATTTCTGGGATTCTCAAGTCTTGCTTCTATATCTCATTAAACTGGATTTGAGGCCTGGTAAGATAACTCAGTCAATTTTATGCAAGCATCAGGACCTGATTTTGGATCCCTAGGTATCTGGAAGACAGACAGATCCCTAGAGCTCCCTGGCCAGCCAATCTAGACACATCAGTGAACTGCAGGGTCAGTGGAAGACCCTGTCTCCAAACAAGGTGGAGAACAATTGAAGAAATCCATCAACCTCTAGCCTCCCTTACATTACACCCACTTGCACCACATATACACCAGACTGCAGCCATGTGCATCACACAAACTGGACTTGAGTCTGTCTGTCCTCTCTCCTTCCCTCCCTCCGTCTCTCTCAAGTAGGTAGGTTTATTTCTGCAGCTGAAGCCTTCTGCATGAGACCACTGGAAATAGAGTACAAAGCTGTGATTATCCTTTTAAACTAAGAACCAATGTTTGTCCCTGAGCCTATAGTTTTTGTGCTCCAAGTTTTAAGTTTGTCTGTCTGTCTGTTGCCTTAACAGTCACCCTAACAAGCACAAGCATCAGGGTTTGGATTGGTCATCTCTCTGATACAAAGCGGGGCCTTCATTTCATCACGTCTTGGTTGGGCGTGAAGAAAGCTGGCTGAGTAGGTATGGAAGCTCTCCTCGCCATTGTTGAACCCAGTACAAGCTGATGAGCCTGAGACTAACCATTGCTCCCCTGCAGTTTCCCTCTCAGAGCAGTGCACCCACATCCTTGCCTGGTGAGGAGCATTAACAGTGTAGCTCAGTTTTCACTGGTTTTGGGTTTACATATTAAGCTCTTTCCTGTTCAGCTCTTTGGCTTAAATTCTGCCATTCTTTCTTTCTTTCATCTATGACTTGTTTTTTAGTGTTATCACCAGGTCATATAGTAGTTCCTTTTGGAGAGCAGGACTGAGGCTAGGGAATGAGCTCCTGTGGTTGTTGGGACAATGTTCACCCAAACTCTGTAGATTTTTCAACATGATGACGCTTCTGCCAGTTTTCCTATGGAGAGCAAATCTTTCAAAACATAATTCACCTTTCTCAGATGTTGGGGCCAATGGCAGGTCACTTTGTCAGGATACCTTCTGAACTTCCACTTAGAGTGTCACATCAGCCAAAAATCTGTGACTTTTTGTGTTCAGGAGCCACTTGATAAGAATGCCATGGACAATGGTATCAGTACATGCTTGTTATAATTTTACTCAAGCTAAAGGATGGGCTTTTAAAATTAGGTGCAGGTATACAGAATTTGTTTCAAGTGAAGTCTGAAGTTAAATAAATTTAGATTCAGACTAACATGAAACACAATTTTGAGAAGTCAAATAGGAAGATACCTTTAAGTTTAGTATATTGATTTTGTTTTGTTTTTACTGTCTCCCAAATCAAGTATGTGTAGGAGAAGTTAGTTACAGACCAGGCTGATTAACTGCTCCCTTAATGAAGATTTGCTGTAGATCTCTTGTCACCTTCAGATAGTTTAGTCAGTTTGGCAGGAGCAGATGCCAGGGTCAAGTGCTGTGGGATGTAATTCATTGTTTTTGTGTTGTACAGCCTGAGAAATGCCAGTGGCCTGACGGCAGCAGACATTGCACAAACCCAGGGTTTCCAAGAGTGCACCCAGTTTCTCTTGAGCCTCCAGAACCGTCAAATGAGCCGTTTCTGTCATAATGGCACCTTGAGTGGAGCTCACGAGAACACGCTTCCCAATCACATTAGCCTGGGAACAAATCGAAAGAGATGCTTGGAAGACTCAGAATCTCTGGGAGTGAAGAAAGCTAGAACCGGAGGTAAGACTATGTGGGAGTGGGAAAGAGCAGGGCCATGCCCTGTCAGGTCCCTTGTTTATGGCTGAAAGCAACTTTTAGAGGTACCTTCTGCCAGATAGTAAATACCAAGAGAGTTGGTTCTGTGTGGGGACAGTAGAGAACTGTCCTGTGCTGCACTGTGAAGATGGGGTGCTTATCAGAAGGGAGGTCTACAAGTGGCCTGTGGGTGGCCCAGATGTGAATGGATGTGGGCCTTGGCTTCTGGGTGTCCATGATCAACTTCTCTGTGAACAAGGGAGACATTGTTTTCATTTGTATTTGTTTACAATGTCACCATTAAAGAAATCTGCCTACTGGGCAGTGTTGGCACACCCCTTTGATCCCAGCACTCGGGAGGCAGAGGCAGGCGGATCTCTGTGAGTTCAAGGCCTGGTCTACAAAGTGAGTTCTAGGATAGCCGGGACTGCCACACAGAGAAAACCTGTCTTGAAAAACCAAATAAATAAATAAACAAATAGATGTCAGTGGCTGGCTGTGGTGGCTCATACCTTTAATTCCAGCACTAGAGAGACAGAGGCAGGTGGATCTACATGAGTTTGAGGCCAGCCTCTACAGAGTTCTAGGACTTCCAGGGCTACATGGTGAGACCCTGATTCAGGAAAAACAAAATTATAAATGATGTTCACATGTTTTCCTTCTTGAGAAGGCAGCTATTCTTGTGTTGTCACTCTGGCAAGAGTAATACTGTGTGTGGTACAAGTTCATTCATCTGACACTGAGGAGTTAAGTTGCTGCAAGTAGTTCTCCCTTGTGTTGTTTTTTGTTTGTTCTTTCAATTCTTTGTTTGTTTAGTTTGGGTGTGTTTGTTTTATTTTGTTTGTTTTTGAGACTGAGTCTCTCCTGTAACACTTGCTGTCCAGGAACAGTGTGTAGACTAGGCATCAAACTCAGATTCGACTGCCTCTGCCTCTCTAGTACTGGGATTAAAGGTGTGTACCACCCACCCAGCATATTTTCCTTTTTTTTAAGACTATATTTTCAGAGTTTACGTAGCATAAGTCTTTAAGTTGGAAAAAAATCTCCCTTTCACATAAAATCCCATATCCTTGGGTAAATGAACAGTAGAGAAGCAGGTAGTGACAGGAGAAGAGCATAACCCAGCACTGACCTGACAGGCATGGGGTGACAGTTGCTGAAAATGACCTTGTACTGTAAAGCAAAATATTTATTAGCTGCTTAATGACACCAGGACTTAGTGTAGGCAGTACCTTCTTTCAAGTGCTTAACACTGTGTCCAGCAGCGTCTCTGTTACATTAACATTTCTTCACTGCAGATTTCTGTACTAATGTGAATTTTGTTGACATAAATGTACAAACTATACATAGTAGTTTATCCAAATTGGGATTTTTGGGCCTTACAACTTTAGAGAGGTGCTATAGAATCTGAGTGTGGCACACCAGGCTGGGGGTTTTAAACTGGCAAGATGTTGGTTGATAAGCATTGTGTTTTATTTGTTCAATGTCCCAGTTTATTTGTAGATGTACTTTTTAAGACCTTTGCTGGTTTGGGGGGGGGGTGTTGTTGTTTTGGTTTGGTTTTGGGTTTTCGTAACAGGGTTTCTCTGTGGCTTTGGAGGTGTTGTACCTGAGTCACGAGGATCCCCAAAGAGACCAGGGAGACAGACCACCGATGCAAATGCATAAGGTTTATTAAATTGTTTATCCTGCACCGTGGGAGGGAGCCTGTCTAGCAAGCTGACGCAGCAGCCTCCAGAGGGGGTGAAGTTCCCTGTCTATTGCTAGGTTTTAAAGACAAAAGTTACAGGATTACATCAGTAGGTAGGTACTGGTTGCTTTCTGATTGGTTGGCATTTAGGGAACAATCAAGAAATTTCTCAAAGTCATATTTTGGCATGAAATACCTGTGTACCAGGTATCTTCACTGGTCAGTGCTAAGAGGAAACATTCTGTGGTTTCTGTGGCTTTGTCTTGTTACTTGTAGGTGGCCTGTTGTTCATAGATATCAATAGTTTTCAAAACTGTATTCTAGAGACTAGGGGAGGTTTTGGTCTCCCCTGGAATTTCTTTTGTGGCCAAACAGTTCCCAGGAACCAAGTACATAGGAGGCTGGGGGAGGGGAGTTGTGTCTGTAGTTTCTTTGTGTTCAGTTTTGGTCCTAGGCTCCAGGAGGCCAGAGGATCTGGAGTTTCCTTGTGTCAGAAGCCTCCGTGTCTTTTCTGTAGCCTGTCATGGCTGGTTCTAC